TTTTGTCTTTATCAACCTGACTTCTCTTTCTTCTCAATTCTTTTCTTCTTGTACTCTCTTGTTTTCTGTTTCTCTTTCAAACTTAGTATTTTTTTGTCCATTTCTTTGCAAAATTTAAAGAATTGGAACCTGGAGATGGTTGTGTCTTCATAAAAGCCTACGAGGAATTCACCAGTCTTAGTGAAAACTATAATTCAGTGATGTTTTATTTGTTTCTTTTTTTTGTGACTTATGATATGCAATAGGCACTGGTAGTACAACACTGGACACATTGGATATTGTGTAATGTTCAATGGATCTCACACATTGGGAAGTGTACAAAATGCTCACAGTATTAGATCTGCTCAAATGAGAAACATAAGAATGGCCTAAGTTCTTTTGGCCAACAGCACATGCAACACAGAAGTCATTGCTTTCACTAGATCCATTAGTGTCTGATCTTTGGAGCTTTGCTTCCTATAGTAATGTTGAGTGCTTCATTTGCCTGGCTCGACCCAAGGGGAGCTAGCTTCTTGGCATTTGAAGCATAAACCTAAATTGAAGAAGCAAATAATGGTTTTTATATACTAAAATTTGGTATCTCATAAAGCTTGTAAAATGGAGAAAGCCGTTGATAGTCCCCTAACACTTATAGCATTATCCCTTGCAGTTATTAATAAGAATACAATCATAAGCACTAACATAGTCTGAGAGTTGTGTTCTACTACATGTAAAATGGTTGGAATTGTGAGTTTGTGAGAAGCGAGGTGTGCCACCATACACGTATACTGTAATTACTTTTATGATCTTTTCCAGGGACTACCTCAAGCTTTTGTCGGTCAGATCCTTGCCATGGGGAAGGCCTCTGTGTTTGTTGGATGTAGGATTTTTAAGTAGCCACACCAGTTGCCACAAGAAGAATGGTCACCATAAGCATGGGGCACAATAGACTTCAGACCATTTTGCACACCTTTTTCATCAACCTTGTTTTGCTTTAGTGCATAACCAAGCATCGCTGGAAATACTGTATCACCATATCTGTCAGGCTTTTGTTTTTGGTCTTGATGCTGGATAGTGAGCTACTGAAGGATCTTTTAGCATGGACTACATCTGACCATTTTTCTAC